CAGCTAGTGTGAAATGCATGGGGAGTGATTATACTATCATACACAATACAATCAGCATGAAACACTTGTCAAGACCAATACATCAAAGTTTAATTCAGTAATAGAATGAATTAGAGCAAAATGAAACATTCTGTTCTCCAAGAAACACAGCACCCATAGAAAGCCCTTTTTTCTGAGGGCTGCACAGAGAAACTAGAATGCATTAAGGAATTGTTTTTATGAATAAAATTGCAACTTGGATCCAACTGAATGCTAAGAGTACTTTTCCTTGGGGTTCTTATCGAGGAGAGAACAGCACTGAAGTGCTTTGCCTATCTTAACTATTCCATAAAAGAAACTGTTTAATTGGACCATTCTCCAGTGGGACTTCTGATTATGCTTTGTTCTAATGGAGATCTCTCCGTGCCTGGAGGAGGGAGGTGGCTTTGCCAGTCATTCTGAATGCACTTGTCCTCCTTGTTGAGAAGCAATAAATACCACACACTACCTTCTTTGAGGTTTCCAAGTGGCTATCCTGGTGTAAGTGCATATGTGTTTAAAAACCAGATGTAAACCACTTTAAAATCCTTTGCTGACACTTCTACTTTAAAGGGGTCATAGGTTCTGTCTCCTAGTATTGTTTCTATTCTGGCACTTCCAATGCTGGAAAATGATGCTTTTCTAATAGAATTGATTAGGTTCAAACGGGGCACAGTAGCAAGTGTGCAGCAAGTGCTGAAGCTGATTTGTGTGTTGCACAAAGGGAATGATCTTCATTACCAGGTTCCATTTTCTTTGAAATGATCAAATGCTACCAAGCTTGTAGCTTATGGGGTTTTATTTTTTGAGAGAGATGTCCATTAATGGGAGGGGCAAAGAAATGTCACAGTAGATGTGCATCTGTTTCTTGCGTGTTTGAATTTTGCAAATGAATGGATTGATCTTAAGTATATTAAATCTAAAATTCCACAGCAAAGGCCAAGTCTCAACCATTGATTACACAGGTATTGTAAATGAGGAAATGCTGACCCAAGCTTAGCTACACAGCAGCCCTGAGAAGGTAGCATGTATTTCTAGGAAAAGCAGATTTCTTGGGAAAACTGTAATCAAACAGTCAAACAGAATTGTACACTGGATCTTCAGTCATGGTCAGTGTCCTAGCCCCCCACTAAAACTGTTTCCATCGCCACCTTCCCATTTACTAGGGCAAGAGTAAAATGTAATGGGATTTATAAAAAATGAGCAAAGCTCAATCTCTCAGGAGAGTCTGTATACGTTCCTTGCACTTCCTTTGGCTTCATGAATACATGCATACACAGGATGTGTAATTATTACAACATCTACTTTTACAGTGACTGAATACTTCTTAATGTTTTTCAATTTGCATATTTAAATCCTAATCAGTGTAAAGGCATGCTGTCCCTTCTCCCCCATGAATTCAAAGTTATGGATGTCTACTGAGAAATGCAAACGTACTGATGTTCCCTTGTATGTACAAGGAAGGCATGCATTTTGTAAAGCAGTAATGTAACCTATTTTTTCTTTTTTGTGGTGTGAGGCACACTAAAAATGAATGACAACTGTGCATTTTCAAAAGGAGGGCTGTCTGCACCAAAGGTCTGTTTTGGCAAAGCTGGCATTTTCCAGGTCAAAAGGATTAGTGTTGAACCAAAATAGGCAGTTGGGGGAAAAAATTTTGTATATTGGGTTGTGATCATTTTGCCACTGTGCTGCGAGTTTTCTATTGGAAAGATGTAGGTCGCAGTCAAGGGATCCAAATCAGAACTTTCCTTTTGGTTTCGTAGCATGTAGTTTGGGGGGAGAAGATGTGTCAGCCTGCTGAGAACCCATATGAAGAGATACCCAGTGCCTGGGAAAAGGGAGACAGGAGGAGGAGAGCAAGCTGTGTTAGAAAAACTGTGTGTAAACACAAAGACATTCTCTGTTGGGGTTTTTTAGTTTTGGGTTTGGGTTTTTTTGTTTTGGTTTTTGGTTGGGTTTTTTGTTTTGTTTTTTCTCATTTAATGAGACATTTGTTCATAGTGCAGGTGGCATTGGGTGACATTAAATCTAGTCAGACAGGTAAACTTGAGAATGCCAGGAATGTGTTCTGGGAAACTTCTTTTGAGTATAGACTGTTGCCAACAGCAGTTTCCAGGCTGAAGTCACTGGAAATGGATTTAGATACCTTCCCCACAAATTACAAGTGGCTGCCCTTCATTTTTCCATAAGCCTTCTTGGTAGTAAGGAGTAAACATGATCAGCAGTTTCCCCGTACGGAAGCCATTAGGCAGAAAATACCGGATCTCTTGTTTAAGGCCAGTATAAGCCTTCAGGTTGGTGGTGACATTTAAGAGTCGGCTCAGGGGGGCTTCCACTGAGCAGCATCAGAGTGAAGTAGGGAGAATATACTCCAGGCTCCTTCCAGTTGGCATGTGGTAAAAATCTGGGCACAAGTGAACATTTTCCTCAGACTTTTCAGCACTAGGAGCAGGACAGGAACCAACGAATTGAAAGAGTGAGAATAGAGCAGATGTCAGGAGAGGGGGAAGGTGCTTGGGGAGCAGGAGGAGGAAGAAATATGAATACAGGCAGGCACACACATGCTAGGGAAAAAGAAAGAAACAAAAAAAATCACACACACACACACACAAAAAAACTCAACCAAAAAACCTAGACACCCAAATAGGCTGAAGAGTGTGGGGTCATTGGCATTGTGCATCCTTCTCCCAGATGGTAGCCTTTGTAGCACTACAGGAGTGGAGCCTGAGGCTCTTTCTGTTCCCTTCTCTTCTTGTGGGGGAGTTTTGTCTCACACTCCTCTTCCTGCAGGGAATCAGGCAGCCGTGAAAGCTGGGAGAGATCTCAGATGTGCATGCAGCTCGCCCTGAAGTCACTGGGAGCAGAGTGCAGTTGGGTTCTATTGAAATTTTAAGTGGTTTGTGTGGGGTTTATTAGAAATACACTTGTCCTTGTGCTTCATTTGCATGAAAATAGCCTGGGTTTCTGAGACAATCTCTTCTAACAATGTAGTTATGCTTGACATAGTTTCCCTTTTTAAACCAAAGAAGTTTTTAAAGGATTTTGGTACTTTGGGATATCTCTTCCCTCTCCTGCCTCTTAGATGTACCGCATGCATAGGGGAGCTTCTGAAGAAGGCGAGTGAATTCCTTTGCCTCTAGTGGTGTTTCTGAGACGTGGAAAAAGAAAAGGCTACTCATTTCGTAGGGGTGTTCCGCCTTGCTGGATGATTGAAATACTTACCAAATGCAGTTAAGGTATTCCACTTTGCTTTTGTTTCAGTCTGAAAACACTGGGAATCTGGTTACAAAGTATTAAATTGGCTTTTTTTTTGTTAGATGCTGAAAAGTACAGTGTCTCCTTAGTGCCCTCAAGTGATATTTGATTTTGAAAATAAATAAGCAAGCTGAAGTTAACTGTTCTCCAAGGCTTTCCAGTATGCCCCATCTTCTGTTTTGTTTTGCAGATTGCAAGAAATACAGTCATTCTGTCTTGGGCAGTGCTGAATGCATTGATGTTTAATAATAAGAACCAGTGGTAATTTGACTCTGTTTGGAGAGTGAAGCGTGTTGACGAGTGTGTCTAAAGAAAGTCATATGATTTGATTTTAAAAGAAGTTTTTTAAAATAGTATTTGCCTTATTCACTGCCATGGCAAGTTTCAGACACTTGAAAAAAAAACCCAACAGTTTGCTGTACTGTATTGAACTACTGTGCAGTAATCTGCAGTAGTGCAGTGTCTCTCTTGTGTTCGACACTGTACCGTATCATATTTTGTTGTGGTTTTCAGATTTCTTTGATATTACTTCCCCATTCCATGTTGGTCTGAATAGCAGGGAACTTGCAACCTTAAGGATCAAGCTGTGTTTCCACTGGCTCCTGTGCTGTGGCATCCCAACATGCCGGGTTACTTTAGGAATGAATGTAATGTGATGGCCTGTGCTCTGGGTATCCATTTTGCATTCTTAGTTAGCAAAAGAATACTTGAATGTGAGAATTTTATTATCCTAGAAGAACCAGCTGGGTTTTTATTCTCTTTTTTTTCAGCCTGTCATGAAGACTGCATAGTTTAAGCATATTCTCTAAATCTCTTGTAGTGTATAAGGCATGTTCTCAATGAACAAATGAACTGTTGCTAAACAGTACTTTGAGATGTCTTGATGCTTCTGTCAAAGTTCACACTGATGAGACAGCTGATTTAGAGAAAAATCTTCCCATTTGAAAATTGTTGCTAGAGACCCTGATGTGTTTACGGCTGCCCTGCTATATAGTCTCAGTGAGCAGGTTCCAAAGTGATGGTATGTGTGAAATGTCAGCACAAATTAGCTTTCCCTTTGAGCTCCATAAACAGAAAATGTAAAACAAATTTTCTAGTGTAACCAAATTACTGAAGTAATTACAGTAAAAATATCTTATTCCTATTAGACTGCACAAAACCAGTGTTTTCTGGATCTCTGAGACCCAGACGTGTTTGGGAATGAGTTATATGATCAGCAGTACTTCTGCTGGGTTCAGAGCGTGGAAGTATATATTTATAAAATACATGTCTTACTAATGCACTTCTTTGGTTCCTGTAATGTGAAGCTGGAAGATGCATAGTTCTTGTTCATAGAAAACAACATTTGCTTCTAGTACAAAAATTAGAACAACAACTTGGGTAATTTCCTGCTGTAACTTGATGTGAATTCTTGTTTGCTTTTGACTGATGTTCCTGTCTGAGCCATACATTGTGAACTGTGGGTTTTCTAATACAAAAGACCTCTTAATGCCTTTTAATGGAGAAGGTTGGTTTGGTACCGTCTTTCAACTGCTTCAGATGGGCCATGCCAGCTCCAAGATCCTGCACTGAGAATTCAGTCTGCCTGGTGTTAGGCATAGCTGGGAAGCAAGCAGTGTAGCCTTTGAGGGGAGAAAAAGTGTTACAGTATAGAAGTTTGCAATTAGTCATTGGCTGCTGCATTTTTAATAGAAAACATAATTTAGCAATTTTTTTAAAATCAGGTGCTCTGTGGATGTGTATAGTCTTAAATCCCCACTGCAAGTTGGAGCAGAAGGCCAGTTGGCTAAAACAGCTGAAAAAATGGAACAGTGTGGATGTTTGTCCCTGGGAAGATGGAAACCATGGAAACGAGCTGCCCAATTTAACCAATGCTTTGCCTCAGGGTGCAAATGCTAACCAAGGTGAGCCTAAACATATGCACTGACTGCAACATATAATATAACCTCTATCTTATATACTCTAGCCTTGCAGAATTCAGCACTCTTTCTAACTTCCTTTTTGAGGATTGACCAGCCAAAGTTATTTTCACTAATACTGTCCTTGCAGAAAGGATAAATAGGTGTTTTATTTGTGCTGGGGCTACAAAGTTTTCAAAGCAAGTATTGTGTTTAGTTAGGTCTTCTAACTTTTCACTTGGTGCTTCTAAATACGTGTTGCATGAAAACTGGATGTCCTTGAAGTATGTCATGTAAAAGCCTGTTGTTTCGTTGCTTGACTATAATCTTGTATTCCTTCTGGTATTGGGGGTTTTTATTTTGTTTGCAGTTACAAAGCCTTTGATACCTATTTAAAGAGAGATCTGTTGCAACTGCATTAAACTTGAGTGTGTGAGAAACTAAAGCAGCTATCTGTGGGATATGCTCTCTATGTGCAGTCTGCATTGCCAGGTGTGTGGGGGGGTGCAGAGGCAACACTGCCGTCTTGGAGGAGATGTCTCTTCTTACTCAATATCATGCTTTCTAATCTAAAACGTGATTATAAAATCTGACAGAAGCCTTGTCCAGTCATCTTCAAGCAAAGATGTCTACTTTGCTAATAACTGGGGAAGATGCAGGATATTTACCTGGGAGAAAAACCTCGTAATCCTCAAAACCCTCAGTATTTTGATACGTATTTCATATAATTATGATAAAGTTAAAATTAAATGCTTGGGAGCTGGTGGATTTGGAGTTACATGGGTTTTTCCTTGTTTTCTTTTCTTGGAAGATTACCTCTGAAGGAAATAGACTTGGTTCATTTTTAAATCTCGCAGCTAGCCAGGGACAAAAGTTCATTCAGCATCTAACTCCATACAGAGGTGTTTTGATTTCTGTATCTCGTGATGTTCAGCCCAACCTGGGCAGACTGGTGGTAACTCTGACACGGCATCCCAGTGTTCATAGACATGGTGCCATGTTGACAGAGTGATTTTGCCATAGGAAGATGTCCAGTAGGATTATGTCAGTCCCATGGCCTCAGTACCTCACTTTCTTTACAGTATTTGTATATGTTTATGACAAAAAAAAAATTATACAAGTCCTCAAAGTTAATGTTGCTTCTCAAAGAGAACAACTAAAAACCTTTCATGCGATGTTTATCCGTGCCTTATTCTGGCAGCTTTGGGTCTGAGGAGGAGAGAAGCTGGGGATACTTGAGTAGCTGTGTGCCATGTACTTTCTAGTTTGGTTTTAAGGGAGTCCTGTATGTGCTGTTTAATGTCCTTCATTTCTAGCTGTTCCCTCTGCAAAATCCTGTTTAGCATCAGCCATGCTGGTTTGTAGATCGCTCTCTCTGAATGCAAAGTGAATGGCACACACTTCGTCTGAGCTGTTGGGTAATAATAGGATGTGAAATGTCATCTGCGGGCTGCTCGGTGCAGAGGGGGGCAAGGCAGGCTGCCCTTGGTTGGGGGTTGAATAGGCAGAAGACAAGAATCCTGTGAATGACTGATTCACATATGAATGAGTAAAAGCTGATGCAGCTTTCTGAACTTGTGAAAATGACAGATTCATCGAACAGGCCACATCGGACGGTGTTCACTCGAGCCATAGAGGCGTGTGACCTGCACTGGCAGGGCCGCCCAGTCACGC